GGAGGAGGAAGGGGAAGAGGAGGAGGAGGAGGAGGAGGAGGAGGAGGAGGAGGAGGAGGAGGAAAAGGAGGAAAAGGAGGAGGAGGGGGAGGGGGAGGGGAGGAGGAGGAGGAGGGAGGAGGAGGAGGAGGAGGAGAGGAGGAGGGAGGAGGGAGGAGGGAGGAGGAGGGAGGAGGAGGAGGAGGAGGCGGAGGAGGAGGGCGGAGGAGCAGGGCGGAGGAGGAGGAGGAGGAGGAGGAGGAGGAGGAGGAGGAGGAGGAGGAGAGGAGGAGGAGGAGGAGGAGGAGGAGGAGGAGGCGGAGGAGGAGGAGGAGGAGGAGGAGGAGGAGGAGGAGGAGGAGAGGAGGAGGAGGCGGAGGAGGAGGAGGAGGAGGAGGAGGAGGAGGAGGAGGAAGGAGGAGGAGGAGGAGGACGAGGAGAGGAGGACGAGGAGGAGGAGGAGGGAGGAGGAGGAGGAGGAGGAGGAGGAGGAGGAGGAGGAGGAGGAGGAGGGGGGAGGGGGAGGAGGAGGAGGAGGAGGAGGAGGAGGAGGAGGAGGAGGAGGAGGATTGTGGGAACATCTCAGGCGAACCCGCCGCCAGACCCTGCAGGACCGGGCGGTCCACGGCTCCCCGTCGCCCCTGCGGAATCCTTCTGCGGAGCCCTTTGGAGACAGTTTTTGTTCATCCCTGGGGCAATGGATGTGACAGGGGGGAGCACGGGGGGCGGGGGCCAGTCACGTCACGATTCGCGCTGGCGCCGTCTGGCAGTGCTTCGGAAGGGCTAGTTAGTTCCCATGCGGCGCCGGCGCGACTCGTGATGCGACCAGGGGGGGGTGGGATGGGGGGGCGGCGGGGCCGCTTACGGGTGTTTTCGCGAGTGAGCAATACAAGCTGGCTCGTAGCGACGCGCTCTTGAGGAAGAGCATTGGCGACGAAAGAAATCGGGGCCGACTGCGCCGACATTTGCGCGCAGGGTTGCGCGTGAGTGCCCTCGTTTCCAGTGTGGCGTGTCGCGCTGGCGACCCGTGTAGGTCACCTTACAGGGTCGCTGTGCCATCTGGCGTACAGTCGGTCTTGATTAGCAGGTCGACCCTGCCAAACCAAGGGCACCCTCGCGTCCCGTGTGCCTCGCGACCCATACCTCCTACATTCCTGTGGGAACGTGCCTCTCGGAAGGGTCTTGTGTCCCCTCGCGTGTCCCGCGCAAGGTCGATGTGCCATCTGGCATGCAGTCGGACCGAGGTATAAGATCGAGGTCGGTTCAGGGAGGGTACCCTGATGTTCTTCATGCTTGTTGGATGTTCGTGTGCGCCCTGGAGAGGGTACCCCTGGATGTTCTGTGCGTTTTGGCCGGCGGAGTGTCTCGTGTTGAGTGTGTTGCTGGGCCAGGTCCTCTGCCTTACTATCGAGCTGCGCGCAGGATCCTGACAACTTCAGTTTTTTCTGGTCGTCGGTGTAACTTTGCAGGCGTCGGCGCGTCGCCCATGGCGGCCAGTAGATTACAAACGGATCTTTCAGATGGAAAATGAAAGCGGCATGCCTCCCGACCGCCCTACGCCCCGACCCTCTAGACCTGTCATGGCGCCAACATTGCAGAGTGGATCTCGTTTGGAAAACGATCGGATGGCTGGAGAATTTCGTTCCGGATTTCGAGGTGGATTTCGTGCGGATTGTTTGTTGGCCTGGAATGAAGACTGAAAGGGCACAAATCCGTGCAGAAGTCCGTTGCAGCACGTCTGCAAGGCCGGGTGCAATGAGACCTGGCCCCCCCAGGCATTCTCAAGTCTCGTGTCCTTGAGGGATGCTCTTCCTGTCCTAGGCGTCCGCTGCGAGGCCCGCTTCGCTTCGCTCCTCGCGCGGCGTCGGGGGTCGGGGGCTGCCGCCGCAGTCGCCCTGCCCCCGTCGCCTCGCCTTCCTACCTCATATTAAGTCGGGTGTGTCCCTCTACCCGAGGAATGTTCCAACATAGTCAAAAGTGGATTGGGGACGAATTTTTACTTTTTCTGACCACTTTGGAATCTGTTGAGACTATGTTTCATTCTTCGTCCAGAATCCGCATGCAGGGAGACATGCCCAGTCTAAACCTCACGTGTGTTGCCCACTTTTGCCGACCGACGTGTACGCAGCACCCCGCAGCTGCGGACAAGAGTGATGGGGGCGGGGTCGTCGACCGTCGGCGAGGCTTTCACGGCGCCCGCCGCAGGCGCCGATTTTTGAAGCACGCGGCACAGCGAACCCGCCGCATGTGCTGTTTGTTCCTTTAGCGGGCGAGGAGCGGGATGAAATGTTTGTTTTTCCGTCACGGGGGGCGCCTGTCCCAGGGCGGCTGGGAAGTTCATACCCTGACGTGCCACCGTCGGGTTATAAACTCTCCAGCCGCCCTGGGACAGGCGCCCCCGACGGCCAAACAGTTGATTTGAACCCGTTCTTCGCTCGCTAATTTTCGTCAGGGCAACGTGGGTGGGTCGCGGGAGGGTGGCTGGTTGGGTCGCGGGGTGGGTTGCGGGGTTGGGACGCGAGGTGGTTCGCGGGTGGGTCGCGGGCGGGCTGGCGAGTCACATGCGAGGACTACGACAGCAAACAACAGCAGACAACGACAGCAGCACCAACAATCATGTTAAACCGATTCGCTATCATTTGCACGCATGCCACCCAAGAATATCTGTATATCCTAGATACTTGCCTTCTTCGTCTTCGATCGTGCTCCCCTAGGGGCATACTCTTCTTACCTGCCACGCGTAGTTGGCGCAGCCCCTAAAACAGGGGAAGAGAGGAAGGATGGAAGAGGCAAGGGGGAGGAGGAATGATGGACCACGGAAGAGATTTGCAGGAAGGGGATGTGGAGCAGGAGCACAGCCAGCAGAACCAGACGGGCGGATCGGTCGAGCGGACCCTAACGGGCGGGTCGGGTGGGCGAGCCCAGACGGCGTGGTCGTGCGGGTGAGTCGCTGAAGCGTCAGTCCTGCAATGCATCGCGAAGATGTCTCGAGCGACAGCGGGATTCCCAACGAAAATCGGTAGAAACTCCAACGCGAGAGCGTGACTCCTGAGTGTCGAGGGCGTTTCGATAAATTGCGAGGAGGTCCCACGCGAGAGCGCGCTTCCTGGATACATTGAAAGGAAGTCCCGCGCGAGAGCGCGACCTGGAATAAGTTATAAGGACGTACTATACGAGAACAGCTGTTGTGGTAAACCATAGAACAACTACACAGTCTGAGCCTCAAGACTTCCCCTCCTGACAGACAAGGTGCGAGTCCCGGGAGGGGTGTCAACAATATTCAAGCAAGAACAAGCAAACAACAACACCAACCCACGCAAGCAGAATCCGCGCCGCAGAATCCGATTTCGGCCACGCACCCAGGGACGGCGTACGATCATTGTGACCCCTCATTCTGGCTTCTGGAATTCAGGATCAACGTCTATTTTGAACGTCTTCCTACTTCAAGTGTCGAGCGGTTGGCCCACTTCTTTTCTCTTCAGGGGGCGGGCGCAGGCCCAATCTTCTTCTCACGCTGTCCTACTTCATGTTTCTACCCATTTCTTCTGGCCGGCGGATATTGGCGACGAGTTCTGAAGTCAACCATCAACACTGAGGATCGAAGAGGGCAAACGGGCTTAGACGTAACTCTTGACGGTGCGCGCGGATCTCTCGGATATACACTAGCCCCCCGGGGCCGCCGCATATCCGAGACATCCGTGCGGACCGTCGACAGTTTACCCGTTCTGTCTTCCTCCTGGAGGAGGAGGCGGCACCGGCACCCCCACTTCTCCCCTCGTGCCCCAACCTTCTCGGGGGCCTCCCGGGAGGCCCTCGTCGCCACGGCTGGATCCCGGGCCCTGGGGGGTATGTTGCTTGCCGAAGAGACCGTCCTCGGGGGGAGGCTCCAGGGGGTCCAAGAGACCCCGCTTCTCTCGGGGCCCGCATGGCCCAGGCCAGGACCACGCGCACCGCCTCCACAGGCGATCGGCCACGAGGGGGGGTCATCGAGGATAAGATAATCCCTAATCCGAATAACATGATGAGGACGTAGCCTCATTGAGGTCCCCGTCTTTGCATTACGGATAATGAGGCTGGGCGTCTTGGTTCGATACATCTGCGGAAAAGAGCCCCTACCCCTAATGTTTTTGGCTCTCCTGACTTGCGTCCCTTCCCAAACGGTTAGGGGTTCAATTGCTAATCATGGGTGGCGCGGGGGAGTGGGCGAAGGTGGGCGAGCGCTTTTTGTCCGGAGTGTGGCGCGCAAGGGGACGCGCCAGTGCCACCTGCCGCCGCTGCGGTGCCGCCGATTTCTGGGGCGCATCGCGCGAGTGCTCTCGAGCGCCTCGGGAGAGGAAAGGGAGCCTCATGCCGAACAGTATTGGGGAGGCCTTACCAGCCTGAAGCGCCTCCCTGTGCTTATATGATTGGCATCATCGCGCCCCGGGGCCCCGGTGTCGATCCGAAGGGTGCCGTCAATTTCTGAAGGGCACGCCCCAAAGCTTGCCATTGCCCTGGGCTTGCCGGGGGACGTGGTCCATAGCCGAGGCGGGGGGGTGTCCCGAGCTTGGGCTGTTGAGAGCTTCTTGCCGCCGCGCCTTGCCCGCCTCGCACGCCAGGCGCGCTGGCGCGCGCTGGCCCGCGGGATCCGCGCGAACCCTCGAATGTTTGTGCTCATGCCGTCTTCGGGCGTTGCGTAATAGGGGGGCGATGGATGGGTGGGGGCGAAGGGAGGCGCACTCTCTGCGCACCTGCGTGAGGGAGCAGGCCCCCTGGAGCCCGAAAGGGGCACGAAAGGTGCGAGGAGGAGGAGGAGGAGGAGGAGGAGGAGGAGGAGCGGAAGGTGGAGGATGAGGAGGAGGAGGATGAGGATGAGGATGAGGATGAGGATGAGGAGGAGGAGGAGGAGGAGGAGGAGGAGGAGGAGGAGGAGGGGGAGGAGGAGCACCCCCGTTCATCGACCCCCCATTGAGTAGCTCCCAACGTCTTCTGCCCTTCCCGCGGCCACCACTCGTCGCGGCCCGCGGCTGGCCCCAGCCAAGGTGCACCACTGCCTGCTTCGAGCCGAGCCTCGACTACGTCGTCGCGAAGGCCTCGGCGGCGGCGGCGGCGCCGTCGTCGGTGGTCATCCTCATCGTCGCCGCGGAAAAATCCACTCGGGAGGTGTTTGGCTGTTTGCGGCTCCTGGGGGCCCTCGCGGGGCTCTGGCCCCGTCAGCAACACAACTCAGGATGAAATCTGGCCCCTGGAAAAGGGTCGAGACCTCCATGGGTCCGCGTTGTGGCGGTTCGTTTCGGGCTCGAGGTTCGGAATATTGTTTGTTGGACGCTCGTTCATTGCCCGAGGGGAGGAGGGAGGAGCTGGAAGGATCTTTGACCCACAAACCACGACCCACGACCCGTCTGCGCTATGACAACATCACGACGGAATTTTTCGGGCCAATTCTAGGCCTCCGTCCCGCCTTTCGAATCTGAAGTCGCCATGCAATTGTGCTTTGGCGAATTCCGCTCTCGATGCTCAATATTAGTTTCGTTGGTGCCAGCAGAAAGCAAAGCAGGTTGCCATATTCCGCCTGCGCGCCAGACGGCGATCGGTTCCTCTGTCTGTCTGTCTGTCTGTCTGCGGGGCCCTGACCAGGCCCCTGGGGGCCTTCCACGAGACTACGCACGCGCTACGCCAGGCTGCGTGGCAGCGCGTACAACATTCAGTGCGGCCTTCTCTCCGTCTTCCCTTTAACCATTCCTCTTGCATGTGCTCCACCAACTGCGTGACAGCGCGTGCAGGATGCTTCCCTCCACTCGTGGACCGCAGAAACGTCAGGCCCGTCTTATTCTGCCGTTCTCAAGCGACTGCCTTTGGAACATCAGAACGGTACATCAAAAACTAACGGTTCCCAGGAGCGGTAAAAGCATTGCCCCTGGATTGGGGCAGGAACCGTAATCGGAAAAACAACGGCGACGGGTCCAGGAAACGCATTGGGCCAGCAAGCAACAACGACATGGAAGCAGTCCAAAGTCCGTTCTCGGGACCCACCACGTTCTTTCTGTCTTCCGTCATTCTTCAGGAGTGCGTCGCATTTTCTTGAGCCGCGCGCTCTCGCAGAGTCGAGTCGGGCCTTCGTCTCCGTCCTGGCACTCTGGCCAGCCTTGCTCCTGCGGGGAAGGGTGAGAACGAGGAGGGGGAGGATGAATAGGAAGAGTAGGGGGAACGGACGGAGGAGGAGGAGCATGGGGGAGGGAAGGAGGAGGAGGCGGAGGAGGAAGAGGTGGAAAATGAGGAGGAGGAAGAGAAATAGGATGGGGTGGGAACTCTGGAGGAGGAGGAGGAGGAGGAGGAGGAGGAGGAGGAGGCGGAGGAGGAGGAGGGGAGACGGAGGAAGGATCGCACGCCACTGAGGGGAAAGGGGGGGGGGAAGAGGTTCGACGGTCCAAAAAACCCAGGGGGCCCCATCGGAGTGGACCTTTTTGCCATCCTGGCAGGAAGGACGCCGACCTGCCACGGGCCAGCGGCAGCCCCCCCCCCCCTGGGTATCAACAGACCGCTTCCGCGTCCTCCAGATCGTTGTCTGGGGTGCGCTCTTGCAGCTTTGGTCCCAACTCGGCCGCCTCGGACTCGTTCTGCCCAACAGCCTGGAGGACATCAGCCAAACACACACTTGCATCGCGGCCCGATTCGGGCCTTAAAAAGACAACCTCCTCTCCGCTGGGCCTTCTTGGGCTCCTCCTTCCCCCCAGCCAGCTCCCGCGCCCAGCCCCCAGGAATTCTCCAAGGGCCCAGCTTGAGAGGCTTGTTGGGGTGCGTCCCTCTGAAGACCGCTCTCGGGTTCTCCCTGCCAGGGCCCACAAGGGTATGCTGGGAGCCTTCGGGCCCCCGTCTGAGGCCCCGAGATCCCAGAGGCCCCACAGGTCGACAACACGGGATCGGTGGCTGACCTTCGGTCATGATCGAGAACTCCAGCAGGGCGTGACCTCCTATGAACGCAGGGGACTGCTGGGCGTCGAACGGTTGTGCCACCAGCTGTGGCGCCAGGGGCTGTTGGGGATGGCGCGAGGGCGAAGGCGGGTCCTGGGGAGGGCAGGCAGGAGCAACGGCAGACCGAACCCCTCCCTCCTCACCAGACCTCCCCTTAGCCTCAGCAAGCGCCTCCTCCATCTCCGATCTCCCCTTCCAGGGAGATCATTGTGATCGCCTGGGCCCCTACATTGTCCCACTGGCCCCTCGTCGGAATAGGGGGTATCTGCCCTGCTAATGAGATGGAGTAGCAGATGCGAAACATGGAGCATACCTTTGGCCATCATGACCACATTGTTCGGGCATCTGCGCAGCTGAGCCCCCCGCCTTCGCGAGTCGATCGGCTTGGTCGTTGCCCTCCTTCTCGAAAAGGCTGGTCCGTCCATCTCGAGCGTCAACCATTGAGGTGCGGACCGCGACCCTGCAGAAATCCACAAGTTCAGGCCTTCCCTCTCGAAGCGCCACCTTCCACAAGTGGACTCTGGTGTTGCCAGGTCGCTGCGCATATCTCGCATCCCAGCAGCACTGAACCGTCCCTTTGCAATCGGGATATATCGTGTAGTGGCCCACTAAATGCTTCAGGGCCACTGGCGCAGCATAGTCTTCTCCGCCACGAGCTACTTGGTCGGGGCCCACATGCGGGGGCGGGGGCGCTCCATATAACCCGGCGAAGGGTCGGCACTCATGATCATAGAGTGCCATTCCCCAACCAGCAGCCCGAAACAATAGAAAAGAGCCCGTCGACCCCCGATATGTCGCAAAAGACATGGCCTCCGTCCAAAGCCAGGGGCGGAGCAAGCCTTTCAACCTTGAGCTCCCACTCTGGGTTCCACCTGGGGCGGAAGAAGGCTTGGCACGGGTCAGGCAGGATCCCTCTCGAAAAACGTTATTGCCAATTCTCGGACCCAGCTTGCAAGCGTCTAGCCGGGGCTACCAGGTCCTGCGGGAGGAAGTCCCTTCCCCGTACTCGGCGGGCTGGGCGCTCGAAACGGCGATGGAACAGGCTGCCTCTAACATCCCCGCAGATGAGGCACTGCGCTGGCAACTGAGTGTCAGGCTTGTTCAGCCTCGCTTGGCACCAATGCGAGCCAATGACAAGGCCACGGAGGACTCTTTGTTCCCGAATCCCCAGCCGCCCGTCCGACGCCCCAGCTTGCTCCTCGAGCGAGGCCTTCCACCTGCGGTGGAAAAGTTCATTGGGGTGGGCGCCAAACAATGTTGCCTGACCATCCTTTGCCATGGTCAACCTTGGCCAAGCCTTCGCGGTCAGAGAGAAGCCTGGCTGCGAGCTTTGCTCTCCTAGCCACCATCGCTGGGGACGCCTGGCGAAGGTCCCAGACCTCACGCGCGGCCTCGCGCAAGGTCCACGGGTCGTCGAAAACGAGCCCAACTCGCACACAAGTGAAGAGAAAGGCTGCAATTGGGTCTCGCACGCGGGCCCAGGGTCGAGGCAGCAGGGGCGCCTCCTTGCCATGGTCACAAGGCGACCGTAGCACCACAGGCGCCAGGCGCTGACCCCTCAGAATCCGGCTGCAAGCGCGGAAGGCGTCAGCCGTAATGATGACCGACGGATCTTGGACCCGACCTCCTCGTGCCCACATGGAGGCAGATTCTGGGGGGCACCCTTTCGGGTGCCTACCCTCCGCCCTCAGCGCAGCCAGGCGAAGCCGCTTCAGCTTGCAATTGGGGAGTCCCTGAATGTTGGCTCCCCAGAGGGCCTTTCGAAGTGCTCCCAGCCCTAAAGATCGACCCACACTGGGCCCCTGCATTCCGCAGCGAGAGGACCTTGGCAACTTTTTGCTGGGCCTCGCAAAAACGCTCGTGCTGGGTGCTCACCCTCCGTCTCGCGCCGTCCGTGGCGTCGCCTCCTAGATCCCTGTGGACCTGGGCTCTCACCGACGGAGGCAAACTACACGGCCTGGCTACTTCGTCCGCGAGGGCTGTCGAGGATGCCAGAAGGCCTAGCTGGTTCTCGGCAGCGGGAAGCCCCATTCGCTGCAGGCTGGCGGTCAGCGAACGAAAAGGCGCGACCAGCTCCCGAGTGATGACTTATTCTCCTACAACTGCATGCAGCGCGAGACGTCATCAATGACATTCTTGATGCGCGCCGCGGGGGTCCCTGCCGCTGCCCTGCGGAGGACGCCGAGCAGAAGCAAGCGTGCGAAGGTGGTGGCCCCAGAGCAGCCAGCAATGATTGCCCCAGTCCGCTGGACCTCTCGGCACATGGCCCTTTTGCCAGGCCACTCGCCGAGGCCCCTGGTACAGGCAACAGTATGCCCGCAGCAAAGCCAGCGGAAAAGAATTGGCCTAGGCCGCTGCCAGCAACTCTTCGTGCCAATTATGCTCGTACAATTTCCGCGGGTCTAGCCCCGCGATCGACCCAGCGCAGGCGCTGAGGGCATTGTGGGCCCAAGCACTCTCGTCACCAGCCGTGCTAGAGCTGAGTCCCCAGAGAACTGTTCGTCAACCGTCCGTTCCCATGGCGCATGCGGCTCCATACCCTGGCCCAGAGGGGGAGGAGCCCTATGGGCCTCACCCCTCCTGTCGGCTTGTCTGATTGCGCAACCAAGACCATCCACATCGGTCACGCGTCAGGAGATTGCTCCCAAGCCGTTAGAATCTCCGCAAACGCTTCCACCATGGGCAAGGGGAGCTTCAGGAGGAGCCGAGGACTGAACGCGTCCCAACCAAGGGCCATCGAGGGACTAAAAGAGACCACGGCCGCCACCAGGAGGTCTTGCAACGGCAGCGCTGAGGCAAGCAGGTGCTCCCGCCTATCTGCAGATTTGGCCTCATGCAATGCAAGGCTAGGCGACGCAGCGACAGCCATCGCGGGGTGAGGGGTTGGGAGCGCCTGTGCAACTCCTGTCCCCACGACGCCTCGAGCGGCGCCAACTGGACCTTGCATCCTTTGGCCCTGCCAAATCACTGGCGACCTTCAGTGCCATGCAGGCGTCCAAGCGCCGCCTCGGCCGCAGTGAACCAGCGTTCAATCGCGACTTGGGGCTCGACTGTTTACCAGTCAAGCGGGAGCTCCTGCAGGCTTGGCTCACACTTCACGCAGGCTTTCTCTTCATCATTCTTGGGTAGGGGAACGCCTCGGGAAACCACTCGCTGCCACACTTTGGCCTGCCCAGCCACTTGCCGCAACTCCAGCACACCAGCAGAGTGCGGCCCCACGGGCGTGTCAGCTTGCTTTGCACAATCCTGGATGTGGTACTTCAGTCATCGACAAAGTACTAACAAATCGTAGCAATTGCTGTGACAGGTGGCCCCTGGGGGTCCCACGACCGTGGCCGCAAGATGATCTGCCCACTGGCATTGTATCAGCTGCTCAGCGTCAATGTTCCAATCACCACCTATGACAACAGGGCAGCCAGCCGCGGCCACCGCTTTAGCAAGCTCTTCTCAAACAGAGATGTTTGGCACCTGCCAGTCCTAGGGTCGTGTGGCCGTATATCGACACAACAAGGGAAGGGAAGGACTGATGCACCATGGCCTTTATCATACAGAGCCGCGCAGTCCACCGTTCAGGCACATAATCTCAACTGCCAAATTGCGTCTTGCTCAAAATGGCCGCGCCCCCGGATGTCTCACGAGCCCCTGCACCCGTTCTCGCCGCAGACGCAAACCATGCCATGTAGCCCGCCTTGTGGCATCAGTTGCGGACCGTCTTGTCTTGTGGGGCTTCCAATCGATGCTCCTGAAAGAAAAGGCATCGTAAGTTGTTTTGTGAACCTCGCGGGCCCAGCCCACGTGTCCTTGAGCCTTCGGCCACGAATTGCAGTTGTAGCTGACAACATGTAGGTCCCGTATCGCAGTTGTCGGCGTGCGGAGGGATCCTCCAGCGCCTGGGGCTTCGGCCACCCGCACATATGCGGCCCAGGGGCGAGGGAGGGTGCGATCGAGGGCCTTGGGCACCCGCACGTCTGCGGCCTTGCCAAGAGACAGAGGAAGGAGGAACGACGACGGGGAAGGTGGAGGAGCGAGTCTTCCCCCTGTCCCTCCTGCTTCTCGTCCTGCTCCTCCTGCTCTTCCGCATCCTGGGCACCGCCTGCGCTGGAGCGGGTTGGCAGGTTCCCCGCTGGGACCTGCGCAAATTCTCGACGGTGGACCCGGAGGCGAGCCGGGCGCGAGGGCTGCCGGGGAGTGGGAGCCGTTACTCCCCCTTGTTGTTGCTCATCCTTGTCCCTCCGCTCTCCTCTCCTCTCTCCATCTCCCATCCCTCCCGGCCTCGTCCTCCTCGTCGTCGTGTTCCTGCTCGTTCTCCTTCCCATCCTTCTCCTCCTTCCCCTTCAGCCCGTCCCTTTCCACCCACTCCTCCCTCTTTCCCCTCGAGTGCCATTTCGGGTCAAGCTTGTCTGGCTCAAGCCAGTGGCTTGCTCCCGATGCTCCCTGGGCTGATGCCATGAGCGTGCTTGCTTGAGCACCCCATTGTTTCTTGCCGCTGGTGATATCGTGCGGCAGTCAAGATGTTGCATGAGTACGGCCGCATGACTGATGGTATGGACGCCGTGGAGGGAGATCGCTCGTGCGATCTATAGTGAGATCGATCTTGAGATCGATGATGAGATCGATTGTGAGATTCATTGTGAGATCGATAGAGAGGGGGGTAATGAGATCGATGGTGGCACCGATCGATCAGAAAATCGTCCAGGAACCTGGGGCGCCGAGAACCCGGACGCTCACCGAAATCGGCCCAGAAATTACGTCAAATCCTTCAAGCTCTGCTAGGACCTCTTCAGTACAATTATTGATTTGGAACTAAGTTTCGGGACGCTTGGCATCGTTCGCGGGCCTGCTTCGGAAACCCTGCTCCCGATGCCTGTCATGCACGTGCGTTACTCGTTCATTGCGGTGCGCAGCGTGGTGGGGTACCGTTTGTGTTAGCAAATACATTCAGTTCTAGCCGCTGAGAGTGTCCTTCCTTGGCGTGGTCGTGGTAGCGCCTTTCCAGCTTGAGTACTTCCTCGTGCTGATCTTTGAATGGCGCTTTACACTTACGTATGCTGGGTCTGTAATCATGTGGTCCGTTGCGAGAATGTCCCACGGGCGCCTGGGGTGTGCTGTCAAATCGATCATTATTCTTCCGGGTTTCTCAGTGCTGGCGTCTGAAATTCTTGATTCATTTTGTCCAAGGGTTGGCTTTCCAGCTTTCGGGCAGGCGCGGTCAATCGTTAGTGCTTGCGCTTGGACAGCGCGTTGCCGTCATGATGGTCTGCGTGGTGCTGAGTTCGCCCGCGGTGACAGATTAAAGTCTATGTTCCGTCATGTCGTTGTTCGTGGTCACAGCGATCGTGGGGGTGTTCATTGGGGTGGAGGAGAATAGACAAACGGAACGTTGATGTCACGAAGACCGTCCCCTCCCCCTCGGTTCCTGCCCAGCCTCCTTTTCCTCCTCCTCCCGCTTCTCCTGCTCCCCTTCCCCTGCTTCTTCTCCACCGTCTCCTGGTCCTTTCCCCCGCCTCCTCTCTCTCGGTTCCCCACCTTTCATGGAATTATTTTCTTTACCAGCATGGGACAATTGTTTTGCGTTGCCTTCCCAGCTCAAGTGAACCGTCAGCCCGCCGATTGGACTTCATATTTGACCTGCGCTCTCTGCGTGTCCACCATGCGGTGCAATGTAGACCGCGCGCTTTGTTCGAGGTTCCTGCGTTGTAAGGGTGGAGAAGCTGCCATAGCAGCCGATTTCAACCTGCGTCGTTTGGGCCACCCGCTGCGCGTACGTGCGCCTGTCTGGCAACGCGGCGCATGGCCCCACAAGGGGAACTTGCCATTGTTGACCAGGATCGTAGGTTTCACACCCAGCGAGCGCCGATCGAGGAGAAGAAGGAGGAGGAGGAGGAGGGAGGAGGCATGAGGAGCAAGACGAGGAGAAGGAGGACGAGGATGAGGAGGACGAGGACTAAGAGAGTGAGGATGAGGAGGAAGGGGAGGGTGGGGAGGAGGAGGAGAATGAGGAGGAGGAGGAGGAGGAAGAGGACGAGGACGAGGGGGAGGATGAGAACGAGGAGGAGGAGGATGAGGACGGGGAAGAGGGGGAGGACGAGAGCGAGGAGGAGGATGAGGAGGAGGGGGAGGCGGAGGAGGAGGAGGAACATGTCGAGGGCGAGGACGAAGGATATGGGCGAGAACGTGAGGACGAGGAGGAGATGGATGAGGATGTGGAGGAGGAAGAGGAGCAACAGGAGGAAGAGGAGGAGGATACGGACGTGGAGGTCGACGAGGGAGTACGAGGAGGACAAAGAGGTTTCTGTGCTGAGCTTTTCGAAGCGTCTCTTCAGCTCTCTGGGAGACGTCTTGCATCATTTTTGTGTTCTGTTCCACGCTCGTGAGGTATCGTGGTGCTGTGCTCCGCATGAAACGCCCGTTGCCCAAGTGCCCGACCAAAACCTGAGCGCGCGCGGAGCGCGCGCGTGGTTTAATCCGTAGGACTGGTTTCCTGGCGCATATTGCTGCCGAAGTGTTCGTCCTCGATGCGGAGATTCTTTACGATGCGGTGCCCGGCGCAGGAGGAGCCTCTTGGGGCGCTCTGGAGGGCCTCTTGGGGGTCTCTTGGGAGCCCTGGAGGGCCTCTTGGGGCCATGTTGGAGGCAGTCGGTCAAAAGAGGGGGAGTCTCGATGTGTGTCCCCCCCATCGGGGGCTACGATCCTCGTGAGGGGTATGCCAAAATTGACCCTCGCAGTGGCCATCTTGGCCATCTTGGCCACTAGAAGCCGCCTTGGAGCGGTCTTGGGGCCCTTTTGGGGCGCTCTTGGGAGCCCTGGGGGCGCTCTTGGGTCCATCTTGGAGGAGATCGATCAAAGAAGGGGGAGCTTCAAGTAGCGTCGCCTCTCGAGAGTAGCTAAAATTGCCTCTTGGAGCGCTCTAGGGGCGCTCTTGGTCGCTCGTGGGGCCGTTTTGGGGCTCTATTGGGCCTCTCATGAGCCATCTTGGAGCCATCTTGAGGCCCCAGAGGGCCATCGAAAGCAAAAAGGCGGGAAGGCCAGATTCATTGATTTTCGGTACGTTTTGAAGGATCTGGGCATCTCAACCATCCTGGGGAGTCTCCGTTGCCATCTTGAGAAGTCTTGGAGCGGTCTTGGGGCCTCTTGGAACATCTTGGGGGCCACCTGGAGCTAGCTTGGGCTATCTTGAGCCATCTTGAAGGTCATCTTGGGCTCTCGGAGGCCCCTCGGGGGCCGCTCGAGGGCTTCTTGGGTGCCTCTCAGGTGCCTTCCGGAGGCCTCTTGGGGCTTCTCGGGGCGCTCTTTTGGCCCTCTTGGGAGCCTCCTGGGGCCTCATGGGCGCCGCCTCTTCGGGCCCTCTTGAAGCACTCCTGGGAGCCTTGGGAGCGCTCTTGGGGCCATCTTGGAGGACATCGATCAAACAAGAGGGGAGCATTTATCAGCGTTGCCCCTCAGGAGCTCAGCAAATCGCCTCTTTGGGGCGCTCTTGGGGCGCTCTTGGAGCGCTCTTGGGCGCTCTTGGGGCCGTCTTGGGGCTCTCTTGAGCTTCTCTTGGAGCCCTCTTAGGCCATATTGGAGCCACCGCGAGGCCTCGGATGGCCATTGGAAACGAAGAGGCGAGAAAGCCAAACACATGGATTTTCCAAAGGTTTTGGAAGGATATTGGCCTCTCCGGGGCCTCCTGGGGGAGCTTTTTGGCAATTTGGAGCCGCCTTGGAGCGGTCTTTGGGCCTCTTGGAGCATCGTGGGAGCCATCTTGAGATATCTTGGGCGCCTTTGGTGCCTCTGGGGGGCCTCTGGGGGTCGCTTGGGAGCCTCTTGGGGGCATCCTGGGGGCCTCTTGGGGGCTCGGGGCCCTCTTGGGGCACCCTTGGGAGCCGTGGGAGCGCTCTTGGGGCCATCTCGGAGGAGATCGATCAACGGTCCCCCCTCCAGAAGGCCAAATTGAGGCCCAAACCCGAGGAACACAAAAGTGATTGTGGCTTCCTCGCCGAGGCCGTTTTGGACGCGCCAACTACCCGCGGAACCCCCCGTCCGGGTCCAGGGGAGGGGGTAGGGGGAGGGGTCAAGACTCCCTCCCCGCCCGCAAGCCGTCTCGCTCACTCACACCCGCCCTCCCAACACATACGTAGCACCCGAGTCTGGCCCGAGCCGCAGCATATGCAGCAGTCGTCTTTGGATGGGCAGCTACTGGGGGCCAATCCGCCGCCTCCGCCGCCGCCGCCGCGCCGCCGCCGCCGCCGCCGCTGTCCGCCGCCGCCGCCGCCGCTGTCCGCCGCCGCCGCCCGCCGCCGCCGCCGCCGCCGCCGCCGCCGCCGTGTTGCCGAATCGCCGCAGCCGCTGCCGCCGCAGCCGCTGCCGCCACCGCTGCCGCCGCCGCCGCCGCCGCCGCCCCCGCCGCCGCCGCCGCCACCGCCGCCGCCACCGCCGCCGCCGCCGCAGCCGCTTCCCCCGCCGCAGCCGCCGAAGCCGACGCCGCCGCCAAGTGTACTCTGTATTGTTTTTTGACAAGGATGGTGGGGGGAGGCCGCATCGGGTTCACGACGCATGCTCCGAATTTGGATGCAGAGTGTGTTTTGGATTGTTTTTTTTACAAGGGATGGTGGGGGGGGCCCTCATTGACTCGGGTTGGCTCCCAGTCGCCTGAGGGAGGGGGTGTATATCAATAGGGAACAGTGATAAACCCCTCCGCGAAGGGGGAGAAGGGGGGTGGAAGAGGAAACTCTCTGAACCACCTACGCCCTTAAAGGCTTGTGGGATTGGCGACAGCTACGCCCCTGGCAGCACCAAGCGAGGGCGAGGTCTTATTGGTTCTTGGTGGGCGCGCGACTCCGCCGGACCTCCCAGAAGCGCAGCAACGTGAGGACAGGTGCGCGCCTGGCAGCGCCGAAGGCGGGCGAAGCGACGAGCCCAGCGCCCAAGGAGGGCGAGGCGACGAGCCGAGGGAGGCGAGAGAGGGGAGGAGCGATGAGGAGAGGAAGGGGCGAAGGAGGAGCACCGTATGATCGATCCAAAGCGAGGCACCGGCCAAGGAGGGTCGGGCAATGCAGGGAAGGGCACGATGACATCAGCACGCGCACGTCAAGAACACCGTCGAAAGCAGGCGGAGCATGCGAAACAGACGTCGGACACCTCCTCCGGCCCTCCGAAATATTTGGAAGCCTCCAGTCACAAGTCCTCCCTTGCCCCTGGCCTCGGTGCAAGGTCGGCAGCTGCATGAAGAGCGTGGGAGAAGTGATGTCCATCGGGCGCACGTTCGAGGAGACCATCCAGAAGGCCCGAGGATGATGATGATGATGATGATGATGATGATGATGATGATGATGATGATGATGATGATGATGATGATGATGATGATGATGATGATGATGATGATGATGATGATGATGATGATGATGATGCTGATGATGATGATGATGATGATGATGATGATGATGATGATGATGATGATGATGATGATGATGATGATGATGATGATGATGATGGGATAATAATCGTAGAGCATGAGTGTTGATGTGGACCGACAGTTTGGGGTGGGATCGTGGAATTTTCCTTGGAGCCTCGGAGCCCGCAGGGGCGTGCCAGCGTGTTGGGGGGCCTTTTCGCCGGAGGGCCAAGTTCCCGGCCTGGCTCCCCTCGGCCCTCCAAAACGGGTGGGCTCGGTAGGTTGTGTTTTGGTTGCCCGTGAAGGCCCCCCTGCCCTCGCGTGTGCTGCACGGCCTGCTCCGCAACCGTACCATTTGGCTCCAATCTGGTACAGATTATCGCGAGGTTTGGGCGCCCAGCCCACCTCGCTGCAGGGCGCGGCATGGCGCCCTGACGAGAGCAGCGGACTCCACCCGTGGAATCGAAGACGCGTGCGAGGCCGCGGCGGCGCTGCCCAGGTGCAGCAGGCCGCGGCTAGCTGGTGTGCTGGGCGTCCCGCGCCGAGGGCGCGGCAGCGGCCAGGCGGAGCTGGATGGCGGTCTCGGCGGGCGCCAAGAAGGCAGGGACCGAGGCGCTGCGGGCCGCTGGTGCGGACGTCTCAGACGACGACGTCGCGGGGCTCGTCCTGAAGGTGCGATCGACGTTGAACGCGGGGCGGGCCCCCCGCTCGAAGCTGGACGAGGCGCGACGGCTGGAGGCAGCGCTGGACCCGGTGGCCGTCCGCCTGGCTTTGGGGAACCCTGAGGTCCCGGGCTCCGAGATGGCCGAGGCCCTCTGGGGGTTCACAGAGGCCGCCACGTTCTCCACTCAGGCGGAGAGTCGGATTCGACGAGTAGCCGCCGACACCGACGGCTGGGAGAAGGTCGCGGACCGGATCTGGGCCCGTGCCGTCGGCGAGGACGGGGACACGCTGCCCGTCGACTGGGTGCTGCACCTGGGCATCGGTCTCTTCCTGTCCAGCCTGGTGGTGGTGCTGTGGGCCGACTCAGGGCGGCACCGCCTGGCGGGCGCGGCAGTGGGGCTGTGCGGGACCTCCCTGCTCGTGCGGCGCGTGCCCGAGCGTGTGACCGCCTGGTGGTCGCGCTGGGGGCGGCGCTCGGCCTTCGCCGCGGCGCTCAGCAGCGGCGGGGACGGCCTGGACCTCGCTGCCGCCGAGGACGACGGCGCGGCCTGGGGCGCTCCGGGGGCCCCGACGCCCAAGGGGAGCTGCGCGGCGACCGCGGAGGCACCTACGGGCCCGCTGCTCCCGCCTGGGCTCGCGGCGCTGCCGCCACCGCCGTGGGCCCCACCTGCCGAGGGCGCGGGCGCGGGTGCCGCGACGGCGAAGCCCGGCTCGCAGGACCTGGCGGCGCTGCGGGCTTTCGCCCAGGGGAGCGAGGTGCCAGGCCCCTTCAGCCAGACGGCGGCCCTGCAGCAGCAGCAGCAGCAGCAGCAGCCGCAGCCGCCGCTTGAGGGGGCCGTGCCAGCGGCTGGGCTCAGCTTCCACGCGCCTCACGCTCCTGCCGATGCTGTGAAGCTAGGGCGGAGAGGTGCAGATGGTGATGGCCACGCTCCGCGAGTTCCAGGCGCAGGCCGCCACGAACGTTTACTGGGCCTGGCACTTCTGGGAGAGAATCGCGGCCGTGGACGGTACCCTGGGGCTGCGCCCTGACCTGCGACGAGTGCTGCAGACCCGCGGCTACGTGGGCGCGGGGGCGAAGTCCCCGCCAGGAGGGTCGCTGCCGCAGGAGCTGGACGCGCTGCTCTCCTCTGCCACGGCGCCGCGCGGCGCGGGCATGCAGGCCTCCCCCGGTTGGGCCGTGGCCCCGCAGACCCAGCAGCAGCAAGAGGACAGCCGCTGGAACCTGAGCCCCCCGCCGGATCTGAGGCGCGCGGCGCCGGAGATCTACCGCGCCATGCGGGGGGCGGGGGCGGCCAGCGCACGCGACTGGCTGTCGCAGGAGGTGACGGGCCAGCGGCGCACGCCGGTCTGGACCGATCTGTGGACCGCCGCCACCAACGTGGACTACTTGCTGGGCGGGTGTAAGACTCAGTCCGAGCTGCTCACCCGCCTGGCGTCCGACGACGCGCTGGAGCTGCACTTGAGGCGGCTGGCGAGCTACGTCTACGAGATGCGGACGAAGGACAAGGTGGGGGCGGCGGCAATGTTGGCTGTTCGCCCGCCCGGGTCGGCCGCCGACTTGGCCCCCGCCTGGCTGGTGACCGAGGCCACGACCCACAGCAAGGCTGAGCACCAGCGCGACGAGAGGGTCCACGCAGCCAGCAAGCGCGACGGCCGAGGCGGCGGCCGTGGCGGGGGACACGGAGGTGGCGCTGGCAGCGGCGCCGAGGCAGCTGGTGGCGGCAGAGGCAGAGGTGGCGACGGCGGGGGGCGCGGCCGCGGCCGAGGGGGTAAGCCCTCGGGCCGAGGCAAGCCCCAGGCCTGACGGTCACTGGCGGACCGAGGGGCTTACGACCCTCCCTCGGTCCGAGAAGGTGCCCCGCCGCCGCGGGTGCAGCCTAAAATGCCAGTGACGGGTTTGCCTGGCTCGCTGACGCGGGCCCTGCAGTGGAAGGAGGCCGAGGCCCGGTCGTTCTTTCCCATTCCTCTACCTCATCGGCCACAACAAGGAGCTTCCTCTTCCGGCAGGTTGAGGACGCGCTGGGCTCGACGCATGCGCGTGTGGCGTCGGGCCTGCGGGCTCATCGAGCTCATGAATGGGATGGACCGCGGATCCCTGGAGGCGAGACCAGCGGGCCAGCGCGAGTCGAGCGACGACGAGATGATGCTGGCCTGGCAGCTCGTGCAGCAGTACGCGCTACAGGACGCGGCGCGGTACGAGCACGACTGCCGGGGGCTTGCCCCGACAGGCGGTCAAGGGGCGGATCTTGCCTGCGACAGAGGACCGCAGGACGCCTACACTGGAGAGCGCAAGGGTGTGAGCAGGCACGTGACGATGTGCGCAGCGGCGGTGGCAGAGCCGCCTGATGACATGGTCGTGGACCTGCTGGAGGCGCTGCCCGACGGCGAGCGCCAGTATTATTCGGACGAGCGGAACGTGCTGGACTACAGCGGCAAGTCAGGGGTCATCTTCGAGGAGCTGGAGGAACGTTTCGCTTTCGTGGGGGGCTTGACGTCCGAATACGCCCGCTACTTGATGCGGGACGATTTGCCGAAGGACATGTGGACGTTCGAGGCCCCCTGCGACGTCCAGGCCTACTGCGGGTTCAGCTGCGTGCCCAAGAAGGACCCCGCCAAGCAGAGGAAGGTCCTGATGATGTGCTCCAGCAACTACGCGTGGGCCGACCCGCACCAGCGCGGCGACCACGGGATGCAAGGCGGGGCGGCCATCGCCTCCATGTGCGTCCCGACGGACGAGTGGGGCGTGGCGGCGTTCGACGAGGACAACGCCTTCACCCGCCTCCGCGTCCCCGCTTGGATGGCCAAGTGGCAGGCATGCCCGCCGATCCGCGCCTGCTGGGTGTGGGCGAAGCTCAGCCAGCGCCTGCGCGACATGGTGGGGCCGACGGGCTGGATGGCCCCCTGCTACCATCGCCTGGCCATGGGCGGCTCGCACTCCGTGCACCTGCTGATGACGGTCAACATGGCGATCATTGGCAGGGCGCTGCTGGGCGTGGGCGCACGCTTGGGGGCGCTTGCGGGCGCCGCGGCACCCGCCGACGGCGCTGCCAGCGGTGTGCCACGCACCTCGCCGCCCGAGGATGGGGGGCTGGAGGATGGCGACTGCGTGGATGCCGGACCTGAGGACGCTCAGCAGCATCGCTACGACGACGACTGGCTCGGGCAGCAGTCCAGCTGCCGCGCCGCGCCGCCTAGCCCGGCTGGCTACAGCGTGGCAGAGTGGATAGAGGCCGTGAAGCGGGCGAAGAGAGCGGACGAGCGGGTGATGGTGGTGATGCATCTCTTCGCTGGCCGTCGGCGGCGTGGTGACGTTCAGGAGGTGGTAGAGAGGCTGGCGAAGGAGCGGAACTTGAGGGTGCTCTTCCTTTCCGCCGATCTCCTGGACGACCCGCGGTGGGACCTGGCCAACCCCTCCACTTTCTCCGCCTTGATGGAGTTGTGCGAGGGCGGCTGGGTGGACATCGTGCTGGGCGGCCCGCCCTGTTCGACCTGGTCGCGGGCGCGCTACAATCGTCGCCGACCTGGCCCGCCGCCGGTGCGCTCGCGGCTGTGCCCCTGGGGTCTGCCAGGTCTCAAGGCCTGGGAGGCCGCGAGAGTCGCGGAGAGTAACACCCTGACGCTGAACTTGTTGGCGCTCTGCGAGGCGTGCGGCCAGAGTGGCGGCGCCTTCCTCATCGAGCACCCGGAGGACCCAGGGCACGCGCCCTACCCATCCATCTGGAACACGAATGAGATGCTGGAATTCGAGACGAGGCGCTCGCCTCGGAGAGCGTGCTTGGACCAGTGCATGCTGGGCGGACGGACGAAGAAGCCCACATGCCTGAGCGGCACGCTGCAGGGGCTGGAGGACCTGAATGAGCTGCGGTGCGACGGGCCCCACGTCCACGAGTCGGCCGAGGGCAAGTTGGCCGACGGCACCTTCCGCACGAGCCCGCTGGCCCAGTACCCCGAGGGGATGTGCGAGTCGCTGGGCATCTTGATTGTCCGGACCTTGGCCATCTTCGAGCAGACCGGCTTGGGCGGCACCGGGTGGCGAAGGCCGCCAGAGGCCGACAGGGCGGTCACAGCATGGGGCTCGCGGAGCACTACGGCACCAGCGGTGGCCGCGCGGAACGAGGACGTGCTTCGCGGCCGCGGGCTGGTGCTGGACGGGCCGCAGATGGCCTTCTACCTGCGCGTCGACGACGGCGTGGTGATGGCAGGGGGCAGCGGCTGCGGCCCACGGGCCACTGGGAAGATGCACCAGCTGGCGGACGCCCTGGCCGAGGCCGGCTTCGTGGTCACCGACCGCACGGAGGCCAGCGACATGCAGAAGGTGCTGGGCTACGCACCACAGGCGCGTCCAGCGCAGCTGCGCTTGCCTCCGAAGAGGGCACGGGAGCTGGTGCAGCAGCTGGAGGCGATGGGCGCCACCCGCACCCTCCACACCGAGGAGCTGCGCTCGCTCTTGGGGGTGTGGATCTGGGGCGAACTGCTGCGGCGCGAGCTGCTCTGCATGCCCAGCGCCGTCTTCAGGCTCCTGGAGAGGTACCCGCACCAGCGGGTGAGCACCTGGGCGACCGTCCGCAGGGAGCTGCGGGCCATGGCTAGGGTAGTCCCTTTGATGTACGCTGACCTGGGAGCCCCGCCAGCGCCCGTGTATTTCGCGGCGGGCGCCATGGGCGCCAACGTGGAGGACGACGGTGGCTGGGGGATCCTGGTGACCGACATGAGCGAGGACATCGCGAAGGACTTCATCGACACGGGCGGCAACTTGGGCTACACCGTGGCGAGGCTGGACGGCGAGCTCACTGGATTGCGGCGCCCCGAGCAGGTCATCAGACGGACGAAGCCCTTCAGCCTCCTGCCCGATCGCGTGTTCAAGCCCGACGAGGACTGGACGATCGTAGGAGCGGGCAGGTGGCGGTCGGCTGACCACATCACGCTGGGCGAGGGGCGCTGCATCGTGAAGATCAGCAGGCTGGCGGCCGCCACTCCTGCCCTTCACCGCACCGTGCTGCCGATCCTGGAGGACAACCAGCCCGTCTCAGGTGCGGTGAGCAAGGGCAGGTCCCCGGCGCACCTTTTCAACCACCTGTTGCGTCAGAAGACCGCAGCAGGAATGGCATCTCGCACAAAGATTTTGATTCCATGGGTGGAGACGCTCAGGCAGCCTGCTGATAAGATATCGAGGTGCCTGACTCGTGCTGAGCTCCGCGGCCTACCTCATGTCGGGGCCGAGGAAGCTGGACAGCACTTCTGTTAAGAAGGTTAAGCCGCGCACCCTGGCGGCCTACAGGGCGGCGGCTATGAAGTTCGTGACCTACCTGGACGAGCGCGGCTTCGTCCCCGACGGGCCCGAGCAGTGGGGCGACCCGCTTGTCGAGTACAAGAACGACATGCAGATGGCCAAGTGCAACTTTGAGTACGCCGTCGCGGCGGTGGAGTTCGTCTTCCCACGCCTGAGGAGGAAGCTGACGTGGTCCCACTCAGTGATCGACGCATGGCGAGTGTCGGCTGAGGTGAAGCACGCGCCGCCGCTGGGCCGCGCGCCG